CACAAGGTGACCTTCAGCTTGTATTAAGCCTCTCTCATTTCCCGATACAGCATTTGGTCTACTATTAGTAAATTTGATATTCGGCTTCCCTCAGTTGTTCTCCAGATTTCTTGGCACAACTTGGTGAGCACGTCCAGGGCAGCATCTGTTTGCTGAAATATGTCAATTGGTATACCATCTATTCCTGGGGCCTTATTTTTTGCTATTTCTTTCAAAGCAGCTTGAACTGTTACATTGTATTTTTCAAAATTGTTGCTCCTGAGTGCTGCGTAGTATTCCATAACTTCCCTCTCCATTTGTTTTTTGATGGACATCTGGGCTGTTTCTGTTTTCTCACTAGTCACTTATTTGATATATGGAGCTCTGGTGGTTTGATAGTAAGTTGTACTGACGTACCAAAGGCATGAGGTTCAAATCCACCAAATGATCCACAACAGTCTTCTTCCATGTAATTAACTGTCTCTGAAAACCTGCTGGAGGGTCAGCTAGAAGTCATACCCAACTCAGTGGTACTTAATAATATTTGATATATACTGTGACTTTTTAGGCTCTAAAGTACATTACTCTTAAAATTTTCCTTCATCGAATATTATTGAAAAAGTCTGTTTGATGGCACCTAACAACTACTACTGGTGGGGCAGTCATTAAAGAATTTGGTGGACACTTTGAATTTAACAGCCACAAGTGGGAGAGGGACATGTTAGTCTGCTTCTGTGAAAAGCTGCAGGCTTGGAAGCGGTGGGCAGTTGTATTCCACCCTGTAGGGTCACTAAAGGAAGAGAGTTGGCGTGAGAGAGAAAGACCCTCAACCAGATGGATTGACACAGTGACTGCAGCAATGGGCTCCAGTGTGTCAGAGATGACGAGGGCACAGGGTGGGACAGGGCTCAGGTCGGTTTTTGATAGGGTTGCTATGAGTCGTCCTTGACTCTGTGGCACCTCACAACAACAACACTGGGTCACTGTGAGTGGGAAACAAGTCCTTGGTATCACGTCACTGAGTGGGAAACAACTCCTTAGTATTGACATTTTATGGTTCAGAAAGGGGAGAGATAGAGGCTATTTCCATGTGTTTAGGGAGATTAACCATTGAAAAGGTGCCTCTTCTCTCACTCGAACTTCTTTTTCTGTGCGTTTTTTAGTTCTTTTTTGGAATAGACATATTTTGCTTAGTACCTTTCTGTCTCTTTAAAAGTCTTATTTGTATACCTCATTTCCCCCTTAATATAATTTTTTTTAACTTTTGCGTTAGTTTACCTACAAAATTTGAATATATTGTGTTTCACACATTCCTTTATTCACATTGTATTTCATACGATCGTTCGTATACATTGTGTTAATCTGTGTAAATCACTATCAATCTGTGCCCACTATTAACCTGTCTTTTGGGGTCCCCATTGGATCTTTCCTAGTTCCCTCTGCCCACCAAGCTCTCCGACTCTGTGATTTCCCTCCTCCCATCCCCCTGGCCCTCTCCTCACACTGTGTCCTCCCCTTCGTGTCCCCCCATCCCCCACCTTGCCCTTGGGGACTTTTATCCACATCTTACTAGTTATCCTTCTATTTTTACAATAATGGTCTTATTTGTGGCAGTATTTGTCTTTATGAGACTGAGTTAGTTCACCCAGCATAATGCTCTCCAGCATCTCCCATATTTTATTACATCATTGCTCTTTAGTGCTGTATTCCATTGTGTGAATGTATCATCATTTCTCAATCTGTTTGCTTTTTTTGGTGAAAATTTGGGCTGTTTCCATGTTCTTGCTATTGTGAACAAAGGTGCTACAAATATCAGTGTACAAATCTCCATTGGTGTCTTAGTTCTTATTTCCTTAACTTAACAGTTTATTACTAGCAGTGGAATAGCTG